ATATGTGTGTAAGTAAGCCGGCGGCAAATTAACGTTAAAGAAAACAACAACAGAAAGTCACATAAGCCAGTAGATGTCTAAGCAGTAGACTAAATTAAAGTTTTTCTACCCCCAGGTCGCCCATGCATAAAAGGACCTCCACTCTGCGAACGCTTAGAAAACAACACCAAGCGTATCTTGCACTATACGGAGCGTGGAAAAAGCTGTGGGCAGACGCACTAAAGCTAAGCCAACTCCTTCACCAATCCACTCGTGTACACACATCCGAACACATGAACACACATCGACGCATACATTTAAAGCCAACAGCTACAAATATAACAGCGCACATACACAGATATATGCAAATACAAACATCACAACAAACAGCTGGTCTGGAAGATTTGGACGGAACAAATTATCAACCACTGGATCTTCATACGCATGTTCATACTAGTCAACACCGGGAAAGTAATAAGCGAGAAGGAGCATCAAGCCACGGAGAGCAGTGCTGTTAGAAGCAGAGGAGAGCGTGACATCGTGGGACAGCATCCACAACAGGAGCGTAACAGGCCAGCACAGCGCCTACGCCGCTGATCCGCAGCTGCGCCGCGATCATCCTGAATTCTTGCACTTAATCGCTTTTGTTTAGTTTTTCGCACATTCTTTTTTCTTACCTAGTTTAAGCTTCTCATGTACGTATGTATGAAGGGAACTCGGGGCTTGTACATACCTTGCTTTATTTTACTTGATTTTTGCATTCCTTCTTAGTTATTCCGCTTTCTTCGGGTTTGCCATCCCCGACCTTTACGGGCATGAATTCAATTCCCGATTTTTTCTAGGTTTTGTTTTTCTTAGCACATGGTTTTTTTATTTGCATAATTTGGTTCAACACAATAGTTTTTTGAATTTTTTTTGCATTGCATTCAGTATGTACTACATATATATACCTATGCTCACATGTATGATTAAATAAATTCTTGTATTCTTGTATTCTTGTATGCCATAGCCAGACGGACACGCGAATTTATACTTTTGGTTTCTTTTCCGTTCGCTATTGGCAGTATATGTATGCATAGATGTACATATGTACATGCAAGTATTTTTTTTTTGACTTTCCTTTAGAATTCGAGTCTCAGGGCACTTTCTGAGTTAGGTTCACTGATCGTACTTTTTTACACATTTCGTTTCGCCACTTTTAAGTTTGAGTTAAGTCACATTCAATTTTATTTTCTTAAGTTTTAATTTTCAATTTTTTTTGATTTTCTACACATGCGTATTTTCCCCGGTAGTTTTCCGATTCGCTTGCCGTCCGGAATCACGAGCGAGTGGTTTTACTTTAAAACCAGTAGGGCAGAAGACACAGACCTCAGCACCGTGGCTGCAGGTGTACATATGTATGTATAGCCGTCGGTATATATAATAGGCTCTCTAACTCTCCACACAGGTTCTCGACAGCATGCTGGTACCATCATCGCTGGAGGCCAAGGTGAGTACATGAATTGTCTCTGGATATAATACTATACATATATGCACATATATATACATATATATACATATAGGCCCGCGGGACATATGTATGCACGTAAATTAAACCCATCTTTATCGGTTTTTCTTTGTTGTACTAATCTTGAACTACCATTGAGGGCAAAGTGGCCTCATTACGGAATTTACATGTACAGAAAGAGCCGAATCGGAAGTTAGAAGTCATTGGTAGTGAATATGAATTTAGATACGTTTAAGTAGTAGGAAACATGTATTAGGGTGAAAAAAAAGGGACAATTATTTTTTTAGGTATAAGATTAAACCTTTATTTACTTTTGAGACATTGCTTTGGTTCAGAGATTAGGATATTAGTGGAAAAAGTAGGAGCAGTGCTTAGGATTAATAGGCAATAGAAAAAAAAAAAAAAAAAAAAATGAATTTTTTTTGGGATGAAGTTAATGTATATGTTAGCATTAGGGTGGTAGAAGGGAATAGTTCATAGTGTTAAAGATAGTGGATAAGTTGAGATTGTGAATAAAGAGTTAGAAAAAAAAAAAAAATGATAAGCTGAACTCAGGAGTTTGTTAATGTCGGAAGATCATTAGGTATGGAGTGCTGAGCACGAGAGGTGGGGTGGGTGTTGCGCTTGTCAACGCAGGGGAAGTGGGGAGTGGACACTCGATGACGGAGGACTTGGAAATTACTGACTGATGTAAAGACGGACTTATGTCAGGTTAGGGGGCGTTGTTAAGAAAGGTGAGGAGTCACAACAGCGCCCAAGGCCTCACGTGAAGTTCACGCTGAAGAAGGGAGGGTTGACTCCACCTGACAGGACAGGACTGGACCATGACTTTGCTTTGTTTTCACTGTTCTTTCTGTTCTTTATCTCCTCTATGACTATCTTCTCTTTACTACACTATCTGGCATGAATACTTTTTTGTTTATGTAGTCGACAGAGAGGCAGGCACAAGTGACCCACCCCGACGACGAGCTAGCTTGGGATGCAAGCATGCCTGCATGCCGCCTCGCCTGATGCAAATAGGCTACTACATAACACTCGTTTGGTATCAAACGGCTCGGAGAGGTCCTTCCTTATTCTGACGGAGCTGGTGGTATTGCTCAACGTCATTTTACACAGCC